CGTATGACAGATCCCAGCAACGACACGAGGTTCACTCGCATAGCAGACAGCGGACGCAGGGATCCAACCCGCTCATGCCCTTGTTGACGAAGGACTTCCAGAACTACCGGAAGAAGCAGGAAGACAAGCCAGACCAAAAATGGCCTGAGGTGCTGGAGGGGTTCTTCCTAGATGGTAAGTCTGCGGGCAAACAACGGCGCAGACCCGGGGCTGTGTATGGCTAACCGACCCCCTCCCTTAGCGCTGCTGCTCATCCCTCAGATAGGGCGCAGTAAATACACCATGAAGCAACAAACAAACGGGCGGAACCAGCTCATCGGCGAATACCTGTGGATTGCCTGCTGTCACGGCCTGAGCCCCGGAGCGGAACTCGACCCGCATGTGTTGGAGGTGAAGGCAAGAGGAGGAAGGAAAAAGGTGTCCAGCCACATGGGGTTGGTGTTGTCCAAGAGGCGGGTTGACGTACTGTACATCCACTTGTTCAGGTGCATGGCACGGTGCCAGAAGTACTGCCATGTGTCGAGGAAGCAGGTGGCAACCCAGAACTGGAACCCGGGGACGATAACCCAGTAGATGGCCTTGGCGACCATTAGCTCCCATGTTGCAAACGCCGGAACGGCGGTCCCTGTGACGTCGTCGAGGGTCGTGGTGAGGAAGGGATAGTGCCCGCCGGCCAGGGCACCTGCTAGCAACGGGTAGGAGGCAGCCATGTTCTTGGAGATGGCCGCGGCGTTAAACCCGAGCGTTCCGAGGACGGTGGGTAGCGCGCGTTGAGCCAGCCGAATTCGCGTCGCCCAGACCGCAACATCATATTCCTCCGTGCCCGTTGTCTGTTGCGGGTCGGTCGCCGAGAGGAAAGCAGACATCCCCATCTGAATTATCTGTTCAATGATCACATCCCTGGCCACTTCATAGCGAGACGCCAGATTCCGCTGGGTGATCTCTTCGGGAGTGTGTAGCCGGTACTGTGGGAACAAGTCGTAGACATCGATGACGTGAAAGATCATGGACACGACCCAATAGGCGATATGCGTCGAGACGAGCGACAGCCAGAAGTCGGATATGAAGGGCAGGAGGTCGGGCATCGGCTGGATCTCGTAAGCCGGAAGCGGCGGCAGGCCGGATGCGAGGGTTGTGTTCGCCATGATGAGACCGGGGGGCCGTTAACACGGCGAGCAGGCCGGGGCGAGTGTGTTGCAGACGCAAAACAATAAAAGACAGGATAGGATGCTGCCTTGCGACAGCGGCAGAATCAATCAATCAGTGCAAAAATGGATGGTCAATCGAGAATGAAGGAATGGCGCGAACGAAGATGGATGCTTGGGTAAGAAAAAGAAGATCGGCTGTGGAGAAGCCGTTGGTCCCTGGATGGCGAAAGGTCTCGCACGGCCCAGATTTCAATTTCCCGTCTTTTTTTTTCAATGTCGGGCCACTCATCGCACCACTTTGACAGGCTTGACAGGCAAGCGAGGAGATCGATCACCATGACTCAGCTACCTAGGTACCTGGGTGCTGAAGGGAGGTAATCTTGCTCTACCCGCCCCATCCGCCGCGTTCCGACTTCCAAGCAGACAACTCGTGCTTTCCGCCCTTCGTTTCTCCTGAAAAAGACCGACGCCCTTGTTTGGGCTTGGCAGAGACCGATGATCCGTTAGCGGCAAGGAGCGCAGCACTCGGAGTCGCGCCGAAAAGCCCCACAGACCGGCGTTCGGCCCTGGGGACGAGTCCGGGAGCTGGGCACGCTGGGTTAGGGTTTATTCAACTGCCTGAAAAGCCGAAGATGGCACTCAAATTGGGTTAGGGTTAGATTAGATAAAAAGCCTTTAGTTCAACATCTCTCTGCTGATTCCAGCTCCTCAGCTACCTGCCTAACCAAATTGAGGGTTTAAATGGGTCCAGGCGATGCCTAAAGTGACTTACCCAGCCTTGCAATCAGCCATGTGCGCTCGGTGGGTGGCGCACAGTTAAGCTAGAATTTCCCAGTCGCTGGAAAAAGCTGCCCCGCCTACTCCGTACCCCTCCTCCATCACTTTGCCCCCGCTCAATTTTTTCCCATCACCCCAACCCACTTTCTCTTGCAACCGCCTCGTCCTGTCAATCTTTACCTTAATTCCCCAGATTCAACAAACCATTTTTCAAGATGCTTATCTACAAGGTGCGCCAGAAGATACTGACAAACGAGGGCAGCGGGCCGCCGCAATGTCGCGCATGGGCGCAAGTTCGCTAACACAAGCTCTGCGGCTAGGACGTTATCTCCGGTGACGAGATCATCTCGGACTCGTACGACCTCAAGGAGGTCGACGGCATTGTCTACGAGGCCGACTGCGCCATGATCATTGAGGGCGCCGTCCAAGTTGGTGCGTACGATCCGGCCCTTGGATGCCAAGTTGAGGATCTGTCAATCTGCGCTGGGAGGACATGAGGAAGCACAAGTGGACGCTAACACATCTCGCAGACACCGGTGCCAACGCTTCTGCCGAGGAGGCGGAGGAGGGCGTTGAGGACCAGGATGTCAGGGTCAACAATATCGTCAGCTCTTTCCGTCTCCAGAGCACCTCGTTCGACAAGAAATCATATCTCACCTACCTGAAGGGTAAACCGCCCCCACCCTCCCTAGCGACAGTCGCTGACTGGTTTGCCACGTAACAGGTTACATGAAGGCCGTCAAGAAACATCTCCAGGACAGCGGGAAGTCGCAGGACGAGATCACGGAGTTTGAGACCAAGGCCCAAGTGTTCGCCAAGAAGGTTATCGGCAGCTTCAAGGACTGGGAATTCTACACCGGCGAGTCCATGAACATCGATGGAATGTGAGTATTTTTTTTTTTTTTTTTACCTTACATACCTACAGCCGTGGCTAACCAGGGCAGGGTCGTTCTCCTCAACTACCGCGAGGATGGCGTCACTCCTTACGTCGTTGTGTGGAAGCACGGTCTCAAGGAGGAGAAGGTGTAAGGGACTGGGATCGTGGCCGCCTATACCCTTAATCACGCGGACTGGATGGCCCGTCTCTGTTTTGCTTGGAATATCTAGGCACTGTGCAAGCACAGTCGTGCGCTTCTATAGATAGTTTCGTGGTGCCTACAGCCCGACTATCGTTGCCCACCAACACAGACGAATCGACCCCGCCCATATCTGATCTACCGATAAAGTTCGCAACGCGCAATGCCATGTTCCAATGTAAAGACACCAATGCCATGCACCAGACAACTTTCCGCCAACATCAACCCAGACCCTTCTAAAACCGGGGCCTCGTCGCCATAGGAATCGGCGGCGGTTCATCACCCTCACCACCCTCCTGCTCCTGCCCCTGCCCCGTTCCTACCGTCCCTCCCGACAAACCAGGCTTCTTCTTCGGCGGCGGCGGCGGAGGCGGCTTCTTCTTCCCCGCCAGCGCCGCAAGACCACTATCCACAACCCCAACCCCCATCCCACTCCCACCACTCCCACCTGCATTCCCACCATTCCCATTGCCACTCCCAAACCGCTGCTGCAACCCTCCCACCGCCCTCAACCCCCCCACCACCTGCTCCCCATGCCGCTGCCGGAAATTCTCGGCCGTCGACGCCGCCGCCCGCGCGTCGGACAGCGAGACAGACGACGGGTCGTTGCGGAAGGCGGCTTGTTTTTGGGCGAGGGTGGTCCCGCCGCCGCTGGTGGTGGTGGTGTTGGTGGTGTTGGGTTCGGGGGTAGGGGTGGAGGTTTTGGAGAATTGGTTGGAGGCTGAGGTTTTGAGTTTGCTGAAGCGGGATTGGAGCTCGTTCATGTGTGAGGGGACTTGGGGGGTTATGCCTGTTGGTGATGGGGTCGGTAGTGGTGGTGGTGGATGAGGAGGGGGTGATGCCGAAGCCTGGGACTGAGATGCCGGCCCGCGCCCGAGGCGGCTGACGGCGGACTGGTTGACGTAGCCCTGCTCTGGGCCTGGGGCGGGCTGCCGGGCGGGGAGGGCCGGGGAGGAGGGGGAGGGCGTGGCGGGAGAGGACGTGGATGATCGTGGTGGGAGGCGCGGTGGGAGGCTGGGAGGGGCTCTGCCCCCGCCTCCGCCTCCGCCTGATTGCGGTGTGGGAGGGGCAGGGCGGTTGGTCGCGCCGTCGGTTCTACCTGGGGGCGGCGGGAGGTGGGAGGTGGAGAGGCCGGTGGTGTCTAGGCGCCATGGCTTGGGAGGAGCGGGAGGTTCGTTTGATGTCGGATCTGTTGCGGTTGCTCCTGCCCGAAGGGGGATGGTTGGACCGGTATGAGAAGCGGGTGATGAGGAGGTTGCTGGGCTGGTTGCCCCAACCGATGCGTTGGGATTCCGTTTGGGTGGAGGGGCAAAGCTGGCTGGATCACGCAGCGACGTGATGGGTGTGGCGACATGATCGTTGCGGCGGGTATGCTGTTTCGTATGGTTAGTGATGTCGGTAACATGATGTAGGAAAATGACAACTTACGTCCCCCCCGCGGCCAACTAAGCTTTTCTAGAAAATATTAGTATGACGTCCAATATGAAGGCGCTCAAACTCTCATACCATCTGGTCCCTGATGCCGGTCCCATCCTTCTCCGGATGCCATCCTTTTTTGAGGATGTCCTTGTATTGTGACATGATATACTTTCACTGACTCGTTTAAATATGGGTCATCGGATTCTAGAAGATGTGCCGCAATGACGATGTTGGTCGACATAAAGGTTGTTGCACTGAGAACGGTGAGGGAAGTTGATAAGAGTGGGCCCAGAACCAAGTCGGGTAGCAAGGGTATCTGGTATGCACGTACTTGTACAAAAGAGAGCATCAAGATTGGTGGTATAATTACGTCCATCCAACGTAACCTGTAATACTGTATTACGGTGGACAGCGGATATCATTATTCCAATATCGTCAATTAATCCGAGGAATAGAAGATTGGAAGAGAACATGAGCTTTCATTAGACCAGGACGAGGCCATAGCCAACTCCCCGGGCCTACTTCTATCCTCCACCAACAACACACAACATGCACTACAATATACTCCCACCATCCACCCCCGGACTCGCAAGCCCGGCCTCCTCACCCAGCCCAACAGCCCTCAACAAGCCCGCACTCTCCGCATCTCCATCCTCCCCCGCCACACCCACACCCACACCCAAGCCCAAATCACCAGTCCCACCCCCCAAACCCCCACCCTCAAACCCACCACCACCACCGCCCCCACCACTCGTCCGCCTCGTCTCCTCCGCCCCATTCAACAAATACCACACATCCTTCTTCGTCAACAACCCCTGCAGCACCCCTCGATCCACAAACAACACATAGCGCAGCCCCAATTTCTGGAAGTAGCTAACAGCGAGGTGCAGCCGGCCGCGAGCGGGCAGGGTGAGCGGGGTCTGGTCCATCCAGGGGCGCAGGTCGAGGGTAGAGCGCGGATCGGCCATGGGCTGGTGGGCAAAGAAGGCCTCCGTCTCCGGGGGCAGCGAGCGCGGGGGGTGGGTGGCGGTGTGCAGGGTGTAGGCCAGCTCGGCGCGCGAGATGTAGCCGAGGAGGATGGCGTCGCGGGGGTCGGAAACGACGGGGAAGCCGCGGTAGGGGTGGGCGTCGAGGATGGAGGTGAGCGAGGCGATGGTGTGGCCCGTGGCGGTGAGCACGATGAGGTCTTCGATGCGCGTCATGATTTGGGAGGCCGGGATGTCTGGGATGGGGGTGGTTTCTTCCGACAGGTCGAGGAAGGGGTACTCGTTGAAGTGGATCCAGGACTCGTAGATACCGCGGCGCGAGAAGGCGTCGCCGACCCATTTGGAGATCATCACGGCGATCATGATGGGGAGGACGTAGTTCAGCGCGCCGGTTAGCTCGAACATGATGACCACGATGGATACGGTCATGCGAGTGACGCCGGCTAAGGCTGCGGCGGCGCCGATGACGGCGTAGGTGCCGGGGGTGATGCAGGGGATGTCGGGCTCGCAGGTGTGGAAGGCGATGGATTTGGGGTAGTTAGTCTGCCAGATTTCCATTATGATGCCGATAGCCCGCCCTGTGAGTGCCCCGATGGCCATGGAGGGGAGAATGATGCCGGCCGGTATTTGTAGGCCGAAGGTGATGGCGGCGAGGAAGAAACTGAGAAGCGCGGCAAAAATGAGGAGTAGGATGGTGGCCGCAGAAGCGGCGCCCGTCTTGCAAAGCCCGAACTGATCATCGAACTGCTCCGTGCACTCGGCAAAGAGATTCGACACCAATTCTGAGTTTCCGGAACGCATGTAGCGGTTGGGATAGTTGATGAGAGCGGTAACGGCGGCCACGATGACTACCTGCATGACGGGGCCGGGCAGCCAAGAGGTGGACTTCCGCCATCTAGCAACCATCATGTTGGCCTTGATAAACAGCCCGCCGTAGATACCGCCGAGTATGCCCAGAAGGACGAATGGGACGAGCTCAAAGCCATGCCAACTGGTGGTGTACGTCACTTGATACATAACCAGTTTGCCCGACCTGAAAGGATCGAAGGCCTGCAGAACCATAGCCGCTGTCATGGCACAGACGAAGCTCTGCCACATGGTCTTGTCGGGAAAGTAGTATGAGAGTTGCTGCAAGAGTTAGGGATATATCGTGTCAAAAAAAGCGGGTGGTCATACCTCAAGGGAGAACAGCACGCCGCCAATGGGCGAGCCGAAAGCGACCGAGATGCCAGAGGCGGCTGCCGCGGACAGAACCTCTCTTTTTCGCGCTGCTGCTGTTAGCCTCATGATCATTTAGTAGTAAGCAGTGGGCCGGCATACCTTCGTTATTGTTAATGCTAGGAAACAACTTCGTAAAGATATTGGCGCAACAACACGCAACATGGACTAGGGGTCCTTCCTTGCCCAGCCACATGCCAGACGCTACGGCGAGGATCTGTCAAGTCAGCAAACATCCGCATACCCATAACCCACCAGGGGATACCTACCAAACCCAACGACTTGGTAATCAAAGTCCATAACCCTAAAAACCTCCTGATCACGAACCCCCCCAACACCGTCTTGATCTCGGGTATCCCGCTGTGCCTCGCATACACGCCATACTCCTTGACCAGCACGGCCGCCGAAAGCGCAAAAGTAACCTGTTCCCTGTTAGTCTAATTCCTATTCTGACTTGTTGACTCCCACAGCAGCAGTAAAAGCAAAGGAAGAAGGTAAACCACCTACCGCAAAAACCGCATACACCACCCCCTCCACCACCCACTGCCCACCCCCCTCCCCCGCCCCAAACACATCCCCCCACCTCCTCCACCCGCGACACTGACTCCCCTCATCATACCCCAAACAACACGCCGTCTTGCCCAGATAAAACCTGCCCCCATCCATCTCCTCGGAACAAAACCCATGCTTGACATCCCCTAGCCAATCGGTCGCGACATCAATGCCCGCCGCCAGCGCGCCCACCGCCGGCCCCGCCAGCAGCAGCACCACGCACACGTGGCTGGCGTCTAACAGCCGCCGCAGGTACTCTAGCATCGGGGTGGCCCAGCGGTGCGTGCGCTTGTAGCGACGGTTGCCGGTATCCGCTCTTGGGAGTACTTGGAAGATCCACTCGATACGCCGATCAGGGCGACTTATCGCACTGCTCCCGAACAGGGGCATTTCAGTTGTACCATACGAGGTGTGATAGGAGGGGCCGCTGGGCCCGGTGGGTGTTTGTCGGTGGT